GGCCATTCCATCCGAATTCACTATTGAAATTTGGTCTAACGACAAGTTGTAGCTCATCCAAACGGCACTTCTTGATAAAACTGTGAAACTCAAAGAGATTTCAATAATGTCACAATTCTCTGTCTGCCCGTATGAATTGTGTTTAATTGCAAAGGCAAAGAATCAGCAAAGAAGACCCAAAGACTAAAATATTCATAGGATATTTCCTAGAAAAGACCAAGACTCCAATAATTTCTCTTAGTAAAGTTCAAAATGAAGAGCTTTCAGAGGAGTATTGGAAGGTTTTGAATCGGGACAGCAAAGGTAGAGATTACGTTGGTAATTGACTCTAACTCGGCATCCAAACTCAAAGAGAAAGGATTTTATATTGGCCGTGAATACAGAACAGTTAATATAAGACCCGACAATCGACAAAAAGATTTTCAAAAAATTTAATACTATCCTAAAAGATCTGAAGTCACACAATTTCAAAATCCATTAAACAGTATAAGGAACACTTGAGCATTGAAAGAATACCTGGATCGGGGGAAAAGAAAAAGATATGACAGATATTGTTAAGATAAATGTAGTCGAACAACTCTTTCGAAGAATACCGAACACTTCTATCAGATAAGCAGCTGGTAAAGATAAAAGGCTCTGAATCTTTTGTGAGCAGAGCCAATACTGGATTGTAGTCGTATATAGTTCAGAAAGTTCCTGGTTAATTCAATAACGATTAAGATCATGTTCCAACATACATATTTGTGTGAAATGCAAAAGGCTGCTTCAAATATAATTTTAATAAATTTAATTTGCTTTACATCCCAAAAATTTTATTGTCACAAAACAACTTCGAAATAACAATGCAATTTGTTTAACGCATTTTTTAACCCGCATTTCAATTGTATTTCTTTAAACAAATACTGTCAAATTGCCAGTAATACTGAGATACAGTGATAAAAATTGCGTGATTTTTTTTTACAAGTGTGTGTGTGTATGTATCGTCTGTTTCATTTCCAAAAGGACAAACTTTTCAGCGTAGACATAAAGGTCGCAATATCTTTTTAGAATAAACGCCATAAATAAAATAGCATTAGAATAAGAAATATTTAAAAATGTCAAATGTACAGTTGGTATTTTTTGTTTGAAACAAACAAAAAGTTATGAAATTTCTATAAAACATATTGTTGGAGTCATTGTTGTCACTGAACTTCTATTGTAAGAAAGAAACTTCAAATAAACGTATAAAGTCTAGTATTTACAACAATAAAACCACATTATTTACTTATGACAAAAGTCATGACCTCAAAAAAACAATACACAGCCCAACAACAAGACATACATATATTTTACATATTCATAATGCTATTTATTTATGGTACAAAATATGGTTTGGAACACGACCAAGCCAGTCAAATAAACAACCAAGCAACCAGTCAACCAACCAACCGCTGAAGTGAAGGAAGTTTTATAACGTATCTAGGATACAACATGTTTTATATTTTGCTGTGTTGTTGTTGTATTACAACATCAGTTAAAATATGCGGCATATAATGGGGCCTGTAGATTATTTTCCTTTTTTTTTTGCCATTTTTTATTTCTGTTTTGGGGTATTTTTTTGGGTTTTTACACGGGATGTTTGTTATCTATCAACATTCATATGAGTGAAAAAATTTTGTTATTTTTTTTCTTCGGAAAGTTGTATCATTTGTTAGGAAATGACATGTGCTTATTTTTCTGTGATACCCTACTCCATTATAATGAGGAGTATGTCATCCGCTTCAAACAATGTCCGCTTTTTCTAAGGTCTCAATTGTCATGAAAACCTTTCGAAAAACGGCGTTTGGGTTCGAAGAAACATCTGTGTAAAGGACCATTGAATGAAAATCATTTGAAAAACGGCATTTCGGTTCGAAGGACCATTTATGTAAAGGACCATTGAATGAAAATAATTTGAAAAACGGCATTTGGGTTCGAAGGACCATCTATGTAAAGGACCATTGAATAAAAATTATTCGAAAAAAGGTATTTGGGTTCGAAGGACCATTTATGTAAAGGACCACTGAATGAAAATCATTCGAAAAACGGCATTTGGGTTCGAAGGACCATCTATGTAAAGGACCATTGAATGAAAATTATTCGAAAAAAGGCATTTGGGTTCGAAGGACCATCTATGTAAAGGACCATTCAATGAAAATCATTTGAATAACGGTATTTGGGTTCGAAAGACCATCTATGTCAATCTATGTAAAGGACCACTGAATGAAAATCATTCGAAAAACGGCATTTGGGTTCGAAGGACCATTGAATGAAAATTATTCGAAAAAAGGCATTTGGGTACGAAGGACCATCTATCTAAAGGACCATTGAATGAAAATCAGTCAAAAAAATGCTTTTGGGTTCGAAGGACCACCTATGTTAAAGAGAAAATAATAATTTCCATCTTAAATAATTTAAAATGTATTGATCCTTATGGATGGTTATCAATTTAAAAATGTAAAATTTTGTCATCTCTCATACTGGAGTCTTTAGTGTAAAGTATTATAGGGTCGTTGAAGCTCAACTTTTTTTTACTATTTGTTTCTTTTAACCAATAACGTGCAGAAATTCAGCAAAACAAAAATTCCCATAAATAACATGTGTTTTAAAAAGAAATACAAAACGACAGGAAAGATATCGCCTGAACAACGAGACAAATGCGGTATATGTGCTTAAATGTAACATTTCCTTTTTTTGTGGCCATAATTTTTTGGCCAAAAATTTATTGATTTTTAAATATATGTATACCAACTTTGTGGAATTGAAATTTTAAGCAGTTTAAAACTTCATTTATATGATAAACTCTTTACTCGTTTTGCAAAAGCAATAAAGCTTTGTTCCTAAAACAATAAAATAAACCCCTAAAAATAAGAGGTCCTTTATTTTAAGAGTCATTGAGTGCTAAAAAGATTTTTAAAGGAAGGAAAAATATATATGAAAACATCAAATAAAATTGCTGTAACCATTAAGAAAAAAAAATCATCGAATTCCGGTTGAAATGCAGACATAAAAACATGATGTGTTAGCTCAATTTTTTTTCGCCCTGCAACTCATTCAATATGAGCCCAAGTGTTACTGGAGTAACATTTTGCTAGACATAAAAAACATTGCTGTTTCAAGTGAAACTCTTTTATGCCAAAGCATTATTACTGAAGTAACATTTTCTTTTTATAGACCCAACGTGTTAAGGGACACACAATGGGAAATGAATTGAAAAAACACAAATTTGGGTTCGAAGGACCACCAAATATTAAAAAAGCAACATTTTAGTGGAAAGTGTAAATGACATAATTCCTGTCAGATAAATTTAAAGAAATTCTTCACTTGATAGAAATTCGACTTCAAAATTTAATTTTGCTTTTGTCTTAATTTGTTTCCCCAATATCTTACGGCTGAATATCTATTTTTCTCGGGTTGATTCCGATGAATACCCAGTAAAAGCTTTCATTACCATGTAAGAAGTTAAAACGCTAAAATTTACTTACACAATAGCATTTTAAGTCATTATTTTAACACGGTGAAGCAAGTACTTACCACAAACGATTACAAGTAACTAGAAAATGTAGTCGTTGTATATGAACATGAATAAACGTATCTGTATCTTCACTGGCAAGATGAATAATGAATTAGAAAGTATTTATATAACACATTATTAGTAAGGCCTTATTAGACTACTTCTATGTAATCCAGACCATATGTAGTAGTCATTGAAAAGTATGTTGTTAGGTAAGTAATTACAATTGAAAGCCATTGCTCAGCTTTTGCTGGGAATATTTTTAAATAGAAGTCCCAGTCCGCACCTTGATTTTTGTTATAGACTTTGCAAAGTAAGTAGAATTTTAACCAATATCCGATATTCCGAATTTTTTTCAAAAAAATATTTGATTTTAAATGTTTAACTTCAAGTTGGTTGAACCAAGTTCGGGTTCAAGAAGAATATGTAATGTGTTAGGAAGGCATTACTATATAGTGAATTAATTAAACATAGAAGATATTGATCTTAGAGACTAATACTGTCCATAAGTCACGATCGAAAACGTATACCCCGTTTATAAGTGAAACGTTAAACAAAGATCAAAATCAGGGTCTGGACTATAAGGCGGGCGAAGTAATACTTTCCAACTAAATACTATTTTATTTGGACGGAATATTACGTCATCATATCTGATCTCAAATTTTCGTGCTTTTTCGCCCAATGTTTGCTTAAAACTAATGAATTGTTAACAGTTCCACCCAGGGCCCTCGCGAACTTCCGAACCGATTTTAGCATCTCTTATATATGCGCAGTATGTTTGTGAAGACCGCCATTCAATAATTTGGTCCTTCGGACTAATTTTAATACTTTTTAAAACAATCTAATTAAATGTTAAACATATTTAACAAAATTTCATTTATTAAATGAGGTTCTTGGTACATAATTCCTTTAATTTTAATCAAATTAAAAGCCTATACTTCAAAAAATAAATAATTTTAGCAAAATGGTCCTTCGCATCAGCGAAAAAAAAAAACCAAATTTAAAACAAAATGCTTTTATTCCTGTTTATAACACTGTTTAGTAGCATACATTTTTTGGCAGCATATGAACCCATTGTTATGACTTGCAACATACTTTTATCCAAAAATCCATTCACTATAACACAAACCTCAACCCCCCCGCCTCTCCCCGATAGCCTGATAACATAGCACTTTAATATTTTATTATACAACATAATAACCCGCATTAAAAGAGCAAAGAACATAATCCCACATATTATTGTCTTAGCAGCAAAAAGGGCTATGTTGAAATTTTAGAAAAATATTTATGAGACCCTTGCCATTATATATAGTAAATTTTAAGGATCTAAACTTATTTAAAAACATAACCGTGAAAGAAATTTTTTAAAATACTAAGTTAAACCTTTTTGCCACAAAACATACACGTTAAAACTAGAGGCAAACTACGAAAAAAAAAATTAAAAAAAAAACAGTTTCACGACACTTACCTCAACAGAAATTGTAAATAATGGTGCATGCACTGGGCCACTCTGTGATTCCAATTTATAAACGAGACCATGTCGCAGTTCATTTAACATGGCAACTGTATTTTTTGGTTGTGGTACACGTTCCTTACTGGTTCTAGTTTTCTTTTTGGGGGTGCCTGCTTGAAATGAAAAATATTAAAAAAAAATATATGGAAGAAAAAATGAATTAAGTAACGAAAGTTAAGAGAGGATTTTATTATAAAAATTTATGTATGATTAATTGTTTCAATTATGTTCAAAATGTTAATGTTGTTAATAGTTAAAGAGTAGAATAAGAGAGATCAAAAGTAGTGAGTTAAATGTAAAAGCCTTTTGGTGCAATTAAAGCGTTGTCAAATGTATTTTACGGCGATTTTTATGGCGATATGGAGAATTTAATTAATTTAGGTTCAATAGTTTATATTTTCTTGGAAATGAAGAGTTTTGCATCAATTGGTAAAAACAAGCCTTGAATAAAACAAAGATGTTCAAAATGTCTAAATGACAGTGACTGTCATAAATCCAAAAAAAAAAATTTCTTAATGATAATGATTAAGATAACATATGAGATGACAAAAACTGCCATGACAATCAAAATTGAAGATTGTCATAATAATAATGAATGTCAGTTGTCAACAAATTTTATTGTGTTGGTGACATAAAAAGTAATAATTTTAATATAGCTGACAAACTTTACAGATTGCCCTAGATATACTGACTTTGTCACATTATTTGTGACAGTGTTTAATAATGCCAATAACTGACAAAATAACAGACCACTGTTTAGAAACTTTAAATTTCTAACAGTTAGTAAAGTAACATGTCATGGCAATGAATAAATATGACTGTCATAATGACATTCACTGTCAGTGAAATTCACCAAGCCAATGGCATAATAATGTCATAATTTCATGGACAAAAGTTTATCAAATTGAAAGAAAATTGTCATTATTTTCATATTGATCGTAACCGGTGTGATAAGCTACATATTGACTTTGTCACATTATTAGTGACAAATGCCAATAACTGTCACATTTAAAATGACTCTCCTAATATAGGAGCTTATGATTACAAAATTCTGCATATTGTAGAATTCTCTTAAATAATATTAAAAAAAAAATCATAATAAGAAGCAAATAAATTCTCAATCATAAAAATGTGTGCGGGAATTTCAAAGGAATTATAGCTTTGGACAAGATGACAATGTAAAAAAATGTTCTCAATATAAAAACTGAATGAGAATTCCAGAAAACTTGATCTTAGTTAAAGGTACAATCAGGCTGAACGATTGCTTTACAAGCAAATTATAAATATCAGGCATTAAATTAATATAAACTTCCAAAAAACAAATTGTAATAATATAGGCCAACAAATTTGGAACCCAGAGACCATATTAATCTTTGAATTTGTTCACCACACCAGTTTTTTAAGATATCGTGTCCAAATTAGGAGCAATTCTTTTCGGGATAAGAGTGTCACTTTTCTTAACTTCTAAACCAGTTTTCCAATACATTTTTGTTTTAAAAAGTGACACTTTTAAAAATTGTCATAATGATGACACGATGACACTTTTAGGTGTGTCATAACTCCCATGGACATTATAACACGTCAATGTAATATCAGCGCTAAAACGGTAGCATGTCATAGTGTCCATTGTCATAATGTCCATCAAAGTTATGACACTATCAAAAAGTGTCATAGTGTCCTTGGATGTTATGACACTCCAAAAAATGTCATAATAACGCCATTATGACACACTAAATTGAGTCATAGTGTCCATGGTCGTTATGACAATTTCAAAAGTGTCCATGAACAATGTGACACTTTCAAAAAGTGTCATAGTGTCCTTGTACGTTATGACACTCCAAAAAATCTCATAGTGTACATGGACAAATTGTCATAATGTCCATGGAAGTTATGACACTTTAAAAATTGTCATAGTGTTATGGTCATTATGAATATTTTAAAATTGTCAAAATATTCCTGGACATTGTGATGGTATGTCATAATATCCAATGTCATAACTTCATGGACATTATGACACAGTAAATTTAGTCTTAGTTACCATGTCATAATTAACAATTTCAAAAGTGTCACAATTTCAAAAGAGTCTATTAATCAATTTCAGATGATATAATAGACTTTGTATGTCATGCCTCAAATATGACCAAAAACGGTGCTATTCCGAATTTTAGTAAACGATATCTCGAAAACTGGATGTGATTCCGAGAAATTCCGAGGTCAGATTAGGTCTCTTGGTTTCGATTAGTTTTTACATTTTGTTGGTCTGAAATTTGTCCAACTATACAGTTAACATTTTAACCAACAAACTAAATAAAAGTTTCTAACTCAAAACAAACAAAAAAAACATACCTGAATACTTTGAACCCTCATAACGACGCTTTGAGGGTGATTTACGACTGTAACCATTCATATCGCCAGATGAAGATATTTTCATATTTTGAGGACTTTTCTCCTCAGATTCAGATGAATTTCTAACTGTTAGTGAGAAGAAATAGAATAGAATTGTAGGTGTTTGTTTTATGGTTTTGAGGTAATTTTCAAAGAGTAATAGTTTAGTATATAGAGAGGGGTTAAAGAGAAATTAAACAGAAAATATGTATAAATTGGTTTAATGATTAAAAACTTAAAAAAACAATTTTCAGAAGTTAGACAAAAATTTTCAAATTTGTTTTTTTTTCAAATAAGTGTATGTTTCTGTTTTCTTTAGTTTTAAATTACTAAAAAAAACTTACCAGAATACTTGGAACCTTCATAGCGACGCTTTGAGGGAGATTTACGACTATAGCCATTCATATCGACCGATGGAGTTAAAACGTTCTAAGAAAGATATAAATAAACCAATAAGAATTAAATTAATATTAATAGTTAATAGAAAACTTATACTAAATAAGAAAATAGACATTGATTAGAAGGAAAATAAATTACTTTTAAAAACAACAACTAAACATTTATACAAAAACATCAAGTTAGTTTGTTTTTTTAATTAATTTTAGTTAAAAATTAACTATTTAATTATAGTTTGTTAGTTAGTTAAGCTTAATTGCTGATTTCTTTTAATAATTAGTTAGATTTTTAATTAGTTTTAATATATTCATTAAATTGTTTGCAACATTTACAATACAACACACACAACATTGTTAATTAGTTTGTTATATGTATGTTTTTTCCCTATTATCTCTCACATATTTTCAGGCTGCTTATAAATACATTTAAAGCTATTTTTTCTATACATATTTATTATTAAATAAAAAGAGAAAATTTATGTAGAGAGAGTGAAAGGAGAAAGTGTCAAAGAGTATAATTAAGTTTGCTTATCTGTTTATAGTTGCTATATAATTATAATAATATTTTTTATGAATATTTAATAAAATGTGGGGTTTAAAAATCAACACCTACTTTTAAAATTATAATTACAAGGATATTAATATAAATATTAAATAAAATTATAATTTGTAGCAATAATTAAATCATATTGTATTGCTTTAAATTTAAATTAATTGATTAATGTAAAAAAAAAATCTATAAAACTGTTAATAAGTTAACAAATTAATGGTTGATATATAAAGTGTTTTTTTAACTAAATGATAAATTAAACCAAATATAGTTAGTTACTTCCATTTATAATAAAAGGAGTTATAAAATGAAAATATTATTGTGATTGTTTAATTAATTAAATTATTGCAATGGAAGTTAGTGAGCTCAAATAAATTATACTTTAAGGCTGCATAAAATTCTTATAACTTAGCACAGTTTTAGGCTAAATTTAAAATTTGTAGATTTATTTTAAACTTCCTTTTAAAATTTAGACAAATTTAAAATCTTTTGCCCACAATTTTATGACAGTCTAGTGTCGTTGGCCAATTTAATTTATTTTACTTAAAGTTAAGGTAAAAAACAAAGTATACTTTAAGGCTTTTTAGCATTTACAATTTATGAGTGAAAGTATGTTTTTAGTGTTTAAACACTTTCGTAATGAAATTAACGTCTTCGTTGTTGTTGTTTTTGTTTGTATTATTCCCTTAAACAACATAAATTTAAAAAAAAAAAAAAAAACATAAATTTAAAAAAAAAAAATTTTGAAGGGGGCTTTGTATAGGGGCTATGTTCAAATGAGACCCTATAATTATAAAATTCATGAGAGTCATAATGGCTAGAACTTGGTTTAGCAGCTTTTTGTCGAGATACGATTATATTAAACATAATTATGAACTTGAAAGCCCTATTCGTCGGATTCAGTTGTATGGGGGCTAGGTGAAATCATGGACCGATGTTAACCATTTTCTCCCGTACCATAGAAGATCATGCGACCTTTAGTTTTACAAGGTTACCTGTAGTTTGACAAGGTTTACAGCCAATATTCAGCGGGTCAGTTGTATGGGGGCTAGGTGAAACAATGGACCGATCTTAACCATTTTCAATAGGCTTCGTCCCTGGGACAATAGAAGATCATGTACCAAATTATCTTCAAAATTGCGACCTGTAGTTTGATTACAAGGTTTACATGGACAGACGGACGGACAGACAGACGAACGGACATAGCTAAATCGACTCAGAAAATGATTCTAAGCCGATTGGTATACTTTAAGGTGGGTATAGGACCAATATTATTGTGCGTTACAAACATCAGCACAAACCCAATATACCCTCCCCACTAAAGTGGTGTGGGGTATAAAAACACTAATAAGAAACTAGGCCAACCATATGATAGCCTACACCAGTTCCAAATATTAAATGTGATTTATTTTTCATAATAAAGCTTTTATCTTGTATATAACCTTGATTCCGATTTATTTAAGCAATTTATTGAAGAAAAACTAATTTTCTGAAAGAGGCTTTATATGGGGGATAGAAGCAAATATGATCCAAATCCCCATAAAATGAGCTGGATAGATTTATATTTATATAATATTTATCGGTGCTAAGTTTCATCGCAATATTAGTGTTAATAAGTAAATTGTAGATATTCAAGTTACTTTCTGAAGGTCCCCTTCTTTGAGACCCTATCATTTCAAAATTCTACAAGGTCATCAAAGCTTGTATAAAACTTAGTTGTGCCATCTTTTATCGATATACATTTATATTTTACATAATTATGAGCTCAAAAGCCCTTTTCATGGGGTTCAGTTGCATGGGGGCTAGGTGAAATAATGGACCGATTTTAACCATTTTCAAAAGACTTCGTCCTTGGGCCAAAAGAAACATATCTGTCAAAATTCATCACATTATATTGAAAATTACGACCTGGGCCCAAATTACGGTAAACGATATCGATCGAAATCTTTATAGAATGTTAATGTAGATTTTGATCGATATCGTATGCCATAATTTGGGCCCTGTACTTTACTAACAACGTTTACATGGACACACGAACGGTCAGACGGACAGAGGGACATCGCTAAAACGACTCAGAATGTGATTCTGAGTCAATCGTTATGAAACTAATGTTTTAGTGCATTACAAACATAAGCACAAACGCCTAATACACATCCCACTATAGTGGTGTAGGGTATAAAAAATTCTTGGAAAAAGCAAAAAAAAAATTAAGAGGGGGTAAAAAAATCATTAAGTTTTGACATTTGGCTGGCAACAACACTACTAACAGGCAGGCAAGGTACAAAATAACACATTTCTATATTAAAGTTTTTCTTGAAATTAAATGTTTTACTAGTTTTGCAAAAAACATAAAACAGCAGGATAGGAATAAAGGGATTGGGTATAATTTATAGCAAAGAGTAGCATGGAACAGTACCAGCCAAATTTAAGGACGAAAAAAAAACAACAAAACTCATTATTATGTATGAGCTGTGTGTGTGTGTGCAGCAAACACAAGTCGGCTCAAATGCTGATGATGGGCTTCATGTTGATATGCTACTTTTGTTGGTTGTTGTTGGCGGTGGAGCGACTTCTAAACTAAACAAACTTTAATAATTCTCTTTTCTATAAAACTGCTAGAACAAAAAAATGTATGTTTTCCGCCAGCAATTTTTTCGAAAACAAATATTCCTAGTAGCAGTAGTTGTAGTACTTGCTAGAAAACAAAACCCATTTAATACTAGCTCGTTTCGGTCTGTTATAACGGTAGATTTGTTAGGTTTACACTAAGAGAAAAAAATATAATTACTACAAACAAATTTCATAATATTATGATAACTGTAATCATATTTTTAGTTATCGCAACTATTTTATATTATACTCTTTATTTAAATGATATTAGCAAACATATAAATGATTACAAAAAACAAGTGTATATGTTTATCACAACGATGTTATATTCATGTGTGAGAAATTTATTTATCGTCAACATAATATGATTGTAGGGATGCCAAACGGGAATTCCCGATTCCCGAAAATCCCGGGATTTTCGGGATTTGAAAGTACCGAAAACCGGGAATTTAAAAAATGAAATCCCGGGAAATTTCGGGATTTTAAAATCCCGAATTTTTAAGTATTTTTCCGCTATTTTATACATTATAAAGTACTAAATAAGAGAATTTTAAAAGTTTTTGGACTTAAGATGACTCTACTAACTTACAAGCTGAAATATAAAAAAAAAAGTAAGAGTGCTATATTCGGCTATGCCGAATCTAATATACCCACCATCAAACCGTATGCCGTAAAAGGAATGCTTTTCTATAAACATCAGGGTGATATTACTCATCAAATTTACTGATAGGACCTTATATGAGAGGTAGGGTGAATCATTGACCGTTTTTATAAAATTTTTCATAATTTTTTTAGACCAATTTTGGTTCATACACTTTCCGGTAGGAAGATTTACGTTCCTATAAAAGTTTCTTAGCTTTTGGCGAGTAAGAAACTTACTTATCTCAAATTTCATCTCTACACTCGTACTTGTAAGCCAGTAATGAGCGTTAAAGTATTTATCTGGATGGGACCTTATGTAGGGGTAGGGTCAATTATGGACCGAACCACATAAAACTTGGTAGAGAGATTTTGACTCGCATGAAACATATGTGTATCGAATTTCATCGCTATTTTTAAGCCAGTAATAAGCGTTAAAGTGATTTTTTTAACGGGACCTTATATGGGGGTAGGGTCAATTATGAACCGACCCACATAAAATTTGGTAGAGAGGTTTTGGCTCGTCAGGGATTTACTAATATCAAATTTCATTGCTATACTAAATAGGCATAGATACTATCGGATATATAAAAATAACAAGTACGAAATTATAGGCGGGCGAGGCCGACCATATAACCCCATACACCAGTTATGAGAGTAAAATGTAATTTAGTTTTCATAATAAATGTATACCTCGCCTCCGATATATTCTAGCACTTTATTGTTAAAAAACTATTTTTCTGAAATATGCTTGGGGGAAGGACGCCATCATATGAGTCGATCCTCATAAAATTTGGAGGACGAATTTACGGTTACATAAAATGTTTTATGCTGAATTTCATTGCGACAGTTCTCTTTTTAAGCGAATTGTGGACACTAATTACTTTTTAAAGCTGTGTTTTGTATGAGGGCTCGGATCAAAAGCCCGATCATTTCAAATTTCATCAGCGTATTTTAGGACAGTATAAAACAAAAGCACTACTCCGGAGAAACCCAATATACCATCCCTACTAAGGGTATAAAAAGGGCAATAAATAGGCATTGATACTATCGAATATCTATAATGGAAGTCAACCTGTCAATAAGATGGCGAGAAGATAATTCCCTTGGCTAGTGAACACGGAATATAAGGTGGAGGAGATATAGGTGCAGTACAGGTGCTCTATGTAGACTCGTATGGATCTCCATTACACATACTATTTAAATATTATTTGGAAACCATTGTAAATTTGGAT